CTGTGCGCCATCTGGCACTTCGCTTTCTTCACAGGACCCTCGCTGTCTCTGCGGGTCTAGGTTACTCGACGGCCGAGTCGACCCAGCGGCGGCACTCAGGCGTCGACCTGGAATAGACTTAGGTCGGCACTAAGGCGTCGACGTGAATCACTTCCGTCTCTGGTTTACCAATCTTTCCCTCTTCCACGGCGGCGGCGGTAGAGCATACGTCGGTCATGGACGACGTCGACATGCCCGACGTTGGTACCCCAACCGACCACAGTCCGTCCTCTGCCCCCGTAGAGACGCTGAAGTTGCTTTACGATCTTGACAAACTTACTCAGATTCCCGAAGGGGAGTACACCAAGGACATACCGAATCCGCCAATTGGGGAGTTTACGAAGAAGTCGACACCGACGGGAGATGGGCAGACTGGACCTTCGTCGGTGACGGCCGGCTCGGAAAACCAAGGTGATGACGACGACGAGGACGAGGAAGAGAGCGACGACGAAGTCGACGACCGTCCTCCGCGTAGCACGAATCCGCGCATCTTGGAAGAACGCCTTAGGCGGGAATTTGAATACATACGTGACATGCTCGAAGAGGACGAGAAGGAGGACAATCAGCACATGGCGGTGCCGCGCGAAGGGTGGAAGGCGACGGACTTTGTAGTGGACGACATGGTGTACTCCAGCATTGACGTGCTCATAATGGATGCCCTACGACACCTACAATGCTTGGAGAAGAATAGCACGCTCAGGCTGTACACCTCGTTCATCTACCACTACAAGAAGTGGGCGGCGAAGATGTTGAAGTAGATACGCGACAAGCTACCCCATGAGCAACGACTTAGGCACGTCGACGAGATCGGCCACTACATCCGCGACAACAAGAAAAAGGATTGGTGCAACGAGAAAGTGGTCCGCCGACAGTACATCTGGCTGCACGGCCCTAGGGTCACCGAAACCCGGCTGCGCGCCTACGTGAAGCAAATGAGCCGTGAGTGTAACCTCATTGTTGACCAGCCCGGGGAGGAGAACAATGCCACGCGAACGGGGCCTGTGAGGTCGACAACTGTGCACACAATCCTCGGGCGCATAAAGGCATGCCAGATGGCGGCGAGGGTGGAGGCGACGCTGTACCGAGAGAAGGAGCTGGGCATCATGAGGGAGATCTCGGTGGTGAGATCGGAGGTGCGGTTCAACGTCCGCCACAAGAACGAGAGGGACCTCAAGTAAGTTGGTCGACAACCTTATTATATATCACTGTGCACTGTGAAGTCGACGCAGTCTAACAGATTTTCCCCGCCGATTTGCGTTCAGGAACTGCGCCGACCGTCGACGCGGCACCATCGGCGATACCTACACCGCCGAGCAGTTCCGCCAGATCATGATGAGGGTGCTGCCGACATGGGCGGCGGCGGGGTGGAGCCCGCGGGCTACCACTCCGTCGCAGACGCTGTGGCGATTCCTGCTCATCAAGGTGCTCACGCTACTCTCCCACCACACTCTCCTGCGCGGCGCCAGCATCCGCGAGATCACGCTCCCCGACGTCTTCTTGTACCACCTGGCGAGCACCTCGGAGGTGAACCCGGATAGCCAGCCGGTCGTCATGGTGATCGCCGCGCGTAACTCGAAGACTTCCAAGGATGCCCGTCTTCAGCAGAGCTACGCTGCGCGACACCTGGAAGCGGAGCTGTGCGCCGTCGGCGAGACCGGCCTGTGGCTGCACTTCATCCTCGACCAGATCGGTCAGTTCTCCGGCACCGACTTTCTTTCGCCGCTTGACACCACAGAACGCGAACGCTGGTACAAGAAGCATCTCTTCTTCGCCAGAAACGACAAGGAGCAGGAGGAGCTCTCCTCCGCCACCCACCAACGTTGGACTCGGCAGATGTGGAGGACCAACAAGGTGTTATGCAAAAGGAACGTGCACGCCGCCCGCGCCGGAGGTGCGCAGGAGCTAGCCATCGGAGGGACGCCGCGCGCCCAGATCGCCGAGCTGGGACACTGGGCTCTCGACAAGATGACGCGTGCGTACATCACGGCCATTCCCGTTGGGGTGGTGATGCAGAAGGCCGGCTACTCAGGACTCAAGCAGACTACTTCTTGGGGCGCAGCAGGGTCGAGCCCTCCGACAAACTCCTGGACCTGCTCGCCGAGCACGTCTTCCCCGGCGTGGATGCTATGCTGCGCGATGTATGTCACGCGACACCGACAATGTTTTTCAGTCGTCGTGGCCTAGTTGGTTGCCCAACTCCCTACTAACCCACGCCACTTTCCGACTTGCAGGCGGAGACGTGTGCCGTCAACGGGAGCGACGCCGCTGCAGCCGCAGTGCACTTCTTGCGCACCCTCGTGATGTTCCGACGAATCGTCGCCGAGGACCTCGCGGTGAAGCTCGTCCGCACACCGTGGCACCCGTATGTCCAAGGTTCCAAGCTCTGCAGGATTGCCCTCTTCCAGCACTGGGCGAAAAGGGTCGAGTCGGTCGACACCGATACGATCAAAAAGCGCCGGGACCCGACTCAGATACAACCGGAGGTGAGTCGCCGACCATGTCGGCGTCGTTGAATTTTAGCCGGTGAATTCTAACCTCTTGTCGCCTTTCCGCACACTCAACATTGCAGGAAATCTCCGTGCGCATGGACACCCAGTATCACAACATGTCCCTCAAGGAGGCGCTGAAGAAGGAGGTCGAGCGCTCGGCGCTCGAGAAGCTAGGCTTTCAGGAGACGATCGAGAAGCAAAACGACACCATCGCGTCGCTCACCTCCGAGCTTGCTCGACTCACCGAGGCACTCCGTGTGTCAGAAGCCCGGAGGATGCCGGCGGCGCCGCCGTCGGCTACCGATCAGACTCCGGGCGAGGGTGGCTCCGCGGATTCGGCCAACACGGGGACTGGAGCCAAGAGAGATGATGGGAAACCCCCGCCACCCCCCCAGACGGCAGAGGAGGCCAGTTACGAGCTCAACGTGGTGCAACCTTGGCGGGATTCAAAGACCGTGCGGGACGCTTGGCGCCTCTGGAACTCCGCCACCGCCAATGACACCCGTCGTCTTTGCGACAGGGTCGCCGAGCCGGGGTTCATCGACCGCCACACCCTCCTCAAAGGCGCGACCCAGGGTGCACTCAACATGAGGGTGCACCGCATGCTGAAGGCCATGGATGCGGTGCGCCAGCTACGCGCGAGCGACGGCGATGCCGACACCGAAGCCGTGGTCGATGCACTGAACACGATCGCGGCACCGGGCATTGGGACCTTCTGCAATGCCCTCACGGTGCTCAACCCGGAGACGGCACCGACGATGTCCAAGGAGCCTGGCATGGGCGTCAAGGGGCTTGGCCCCAAGGTGGTCTCGAAGCTACGCCTCGCCTGTGCGCTGGTGGCGCTCGAGCTGAAGCCGACGACGTGGGTCGACCGCCTGTTTCCAGACACCTGGGAGGAGCAGATGCCGAAGACCGTGGCCGACTTGGCCAAGCAGACCGCACCTGCGCAGCGTCCTCCGTCAAAGCGCAAGAAGTCGGCATGAAGATCCTCGGTGTATATGTGTTAGCGTAGGTTGATGATGCCCTAATTTAGCAAACCGTAGTGTTCCCATCGTACTTGTTGATTTTGATGCAACACGAACATACATGATCCAACACATACATTCGAACCAGATATGTCGGACTCCGACATAGTCGCCACCATGTGTGTGCAATTCATTGTGCCTTATTCATGTCGACATCGCTGACTGCATGCAAACGGCGCAAACGGCGCCGATCACGCTATAACCGAGCAATCATACCACCTAGCGCTCCCTCCGCGCGCCGACTACGCATCCGTGCTGTCCATGCCTGCTCGATATGCGCGTCAAACGGCACATCGATGCCGACCTCCTAGAGTTTCGGCCACCTGGGCGGCGCGGCACATTCCCCAAAGCGCCGACCATTGACCATCTCGGCCTAGCCGACGAGGCTCATCGCCGAGTATATACATGCATACAGCCAGACGCACTATGTCGACACCGTACGACGCCGAGTTGCTATACGCCGACGGGTTCATCGAACCGGGCCCGCATTTGAGTAACATGGTAGAGATCAGGTCGACCTTGTCGAGGAGTGTTCTAGTAACATGCAGTACCAAAAAGTTACAGCCAACAAAAGAAATCCCAACGAAAAATATACAATCAAACGAAAAAAAATCCCAAGACAACCACATAATCGACGCCGCCCATACCAGGCCATCATAGCAAGAAGACCTACTTGCGCTCCCTCCTGCCGCCCATGGCAGATTGTTATGCCAACTACGCCGCCGTGCTGTCCTTGCCCGCTCTGCCCTTCTTCCCCTTCTTCCCCGAGCTGTCCTTGCCCTGCTTGCCCCTCGGCCTCTTTCCCCCTCCCTGTGTTCGATGTCGTACTCCATCTGCGCGTCAAGCGGCACCGCGATGCCGATCTTCCTGAGTTTCGGCCCATCCACGGGGCACATTCCCCAGAACGCGAGGGTTTCCACCGTCGCTCGTGCGATCAGTTTGGCCTCGGCTTCATCACCCAACCCCGGATAGGCTTTGGCCAGAGCGGTGGACTCCAACGCCGGTGCGACGTTGTGCGCAACCTCCCCAAGGGGTTGCTACCTGCTGATCGCGGCCTCCAGCACCGCCGTCATGACCTTCTTGAACTCGGCGGCGGTAGGTCTCGCTGGCGCCGACCAACATCGCCGCCGCCTTCCCTTCGCGGACGGCATCAGCCACCTGGGCGCCGTCGCCATCGACTAAGCACCACAGGGCGCAAGCGGAGGCCGACAGCGCCTGTGCGACCTTCGCCGTCTTCTGATCCGTGTCGCCCTCCATTCTCGCCGCGGATGCAGCGACCATCCCATACGCCGCGCACATGGACACGCGATCAATCATGGCCGACATCATTGCATCCGACTTCGTGTCGGCATCGACGGGGAACCAGATCGCGGGCAAAAGCGCATCGTGGTGCGCATTGCCTGATGTCTTGTACGCTCGATACTTCCCGAGGATATCATCGAACCTGTCACGCAATCACACGAAACTGGCCGTTAGGAACGCCGACGTCGACATCATAGCTTGGCCGACGTTTATCCGACTTACCGTGTCTTTGGGAGGAACGCGCCCCGTGCCCCCATATCACCGTCCACATCCCAGTCGGCAAGAACCGGACTTCCTTCCACACCGCCCTCCACTGCTTCATCACTGTTTCCTCCAAGCCGGTGAGCTCGGCCATGAGGATCTTGCTGACGTAACCGTCGTACAGGAGGTACACAATCGAGTGAAGGTACGTCAGCTCCATCTTGTCGCGGGACTTGCCGATGTATCTGCTCTCGTTCCCGACCACCTTAATCTCGCCCACCCACCCTTGCTTGTCGCCCGTGGTGTCGTGGCGGATGCCATGACCCTTCCGTTCTTTCACCTTCACCTTCTCCTCCTCCGTCGCCGCCTCCTCCTCCTCCAGCTCTTCTTCTTCCTCCTCCTTCTCCTCCTTCTCCTCCTCCTTCTCCTTCTCCTTCTCCTCCTCCCCCACCTCCGCCTCCACCTTCTCCTCCTCCTCCTCCTTCTCCTTCTCCTCCTCCTCCTTCTCCTTTTCTCCTCCTCCTCCTCCTCCTTCTCCTTCTCCTTCTCCTCCTTCTCATTCTTCTTCTCCTCCATCTCCTCCTCCTTCTCCTTCTCCACCATCGCCGTCGCCATCCCCTGTCCTTTCTCCACCGACTTCACCATCGCCGACGTCGCCCGTGTTTTTCTTCTTCGAGCTCGGCCTCGCTTTCCCTGCGTCGACCGTCCCCTTCCGTTTCGACTTTCCCGCGCCGACCGCAGCAGTGGTCGTCTTTGGCTCCGCTGTACAACCGGTGGGACTCGCCGAGTCCAAGATGGCCAGCACAGGGGGCTGCTTGGGGCGGTTTACCGCTTCCAACAGGTCCTGGATGGCAGCGATATCGGCGTCGTTGTGGTCCTTCGCCGCCTGTGCAGGGTCAACTGATCTGCCGCCCGTGGCTAGCGCTGCACTCACGCCCTTCTCTCCGGCCACCGCCTCGACAGTAGCCGCACCGAGTGTGTGTGCAGCTACGGTCACCGACGTCGGCGTCGCGCATGAGCTGGATACCGGCTGAGCCCGTGCTGGCGCAGCCGCAGTACGTGCGCCTAACCGGGCGCGAAGCAACGCGGACTTTGGGTCCACAGGAGGACGGGCGGGCGATGATAGGCGCGGTAGGTGGGGCACTGGACGTTGTGGCGGCGACCTGGGGAGTGACCGAGCGACGTGCTGTGGCCGGCCGGCGCGGTACCGACCACGGGAGGCTGCTGCACGTCCTGTCGATGGGTCTCCATGCGGCTGAGCATCTCCCTGAGCGCGTTCGCCTTTGGGGCGGACGGACCAGCGCGGTTAGCCGCAGCATCCACCGCGTCAACCTTGGCGGCAGACGTGCCTGCTGGTGCTGGAGTAGCCGCAAGGGACGGCCCATCGTTGTTGGCGGCTGACGGGGCGACCGGCGCGCTGCTAGCCGCAGGGGTTTGCGGGGGATCGACGTGGTCCCCGCCACTCCGACGGACGGTCCCTTGATGGTTTTGGCGCCGCCATCTATCGCCGTTGGTGCGGTCGCTAGACTGGCCGGCTTCTCGGCGACCAATGGCGGGGCTGTTGGTCCAGCCTCTTGAGCGGCAACCTGGTCGGCAGGGCCCCCCTCCGCACTCCTGATTCCATCGCCCTTGCTGTGCGTCCCTTATCACCTTGGCCCCGTTCTTCTTGAGCTGGGCGACCACGCTCGTACCTCCACTCCCCATCGGCTCTCCCTTGCTCCGCGAGCCGCCTGGACCCACCTGGCCG